CCGGTGACAACCAGTGGGAACCAATACATCGTGGTGATGACAGAACACCTGTCGCGATGGATTGAGGCGGCAGCCGTGCCGAATCAGCGGGCGACGACGATCAGCGGAGCGGTAATGCATCACATTGTGGCCAACGATGGAGTGCCAAAAATGATCCTAACCGATAGGGGGTCTTGCTTCGAGAGCGAAAAGTTTCGTAATTGCTTGCAGAAGCTGGGTATCAGACGGCTAAGGACGGCACCATACCACCGGCAAACAAATGGCCTGACCGAACGTAATAACCGAACGATCAAGGATTGGCTTGCGGCTAAAGGTGACTGGAAAATGAACTTGCCGATGGTGTTGTTAGCTCATTGTGCTTCCACGCAGTCAACCACAGGCAAGTCACCGTTTACGTTAATGTACGGTCGACATCCGCGCCTTCCGGTTGATCAGGAAATTGGGTTGTGGCCAGCAACACGCTTGTCTCCGGAGGGGCTAGAGGAAGAAAGAGAGGTCGAGAAAATTTGACCGCCGTTCAGGAAAGGGCTAGGCAGAAAACGGCAAGTAGAAAGGTCCGAACGTTCACCGTAGGCACGTAGGTCAAGTGTAAGGATCACCAGAATCCTGGAAGGAGTGGACTGGGGTCGCGGAAGCTAGGCAGCCGATGGCAAGGGCCGTTTGAAGTCACCGACCGCCGGGGGAACGTCTGCACCATTCAAGATGGTCGGGGATCGAAAGAATGGGACGCAGCTTCGCAAGTGGCATGATACACCTGAAGAGCGGCCGAATAGACCCGCTGCCCAAGCCGACCTGACGGAGAGAAATGAAAATCGATGGCATGCGAACGAGCTTTAAGGGGTGGAGGTGTGTAACGGTGACACTACTGATCGGGATTTGTAACATTTGCTTGGATTTGACCGATGAATGAGTGGTGGCAATGAATATCTAGGAAGACTCGTTCGAGAGAAGATCTGTGTCCAGTTTCTGCAACTTAGATGCAGATTAGAGTTTTGCTGCCCTGTTCAATGATCTGTAACCGGTCAGTTGACATTTTCGAATAAATAACTCCGCAGCGAAGGCCTTCTTCATTTCATTGGTATCACTGCAATTTGCGTGGCCCTCAGTAGATACAAACGTACGTGTTTCTTAGGTAGGAAGCGCTCAGTGTCATCTCATTTTTTATACTTCTTAGTTTATTCATTCAAAGTGGAGCAAGAAACATGCTGTTTGGGTGAGGTAGCTTCCGTGTGTAGTTGATGGGCAGTGGTGATTACTCCTTCGGCGTTGCCTGTTATTTGGCCATGTCCACATGAGCGGTTAACGCTTATAACCCAATATTTCTCTTGTTTGACGGAACCGGCACAATCTACCGGACTGATCGCTCTCCGGCTTACTGCGCCTCATGCTTTAAAAGGTCGTCCTCAGAAAATGAATCTTCTGATCACTTATCTACGATCGTACAAATACACTCAAATGGTAACTTGATAGTTAAACGATATCAGTGTCATTAATTCAGGTGGATGTTCATTGGGCTGGCTGATCTACTATCAAAGAAAATTCCACATCATAAGACAATTGCGCATACCATCGGTGAAATGTTTCACCAGTGAACGTAAGGAATTTTCATTCGAAAACCTAGAAAAGTCACCTGAGAAGTATAGCTTGGGGGCCGCAGTCTAAAGCTGAAAAGGGCTTTCTCACATGCACATTTCTATGTTGACTACACAAGTAATAGACAAATGCTGCTAGTGGTACTGGTAAGATTGATTCGTTTTTCCCACTGTTTATTAACTCATTATAGTTTATCATATTCAAAAGCATTATTGGCAAACATCTTCATCCTCCACTACAGGGGTTTCCAAATTCAGATGATAATTATAATTGCACAAAAGCGACTGTAATTTAACTCTCTCCTAATTTTTAGTGCGTCATGCCTTCAAGCTACAAACCGGCGTTTTGAATAAAAGTATAATTTCCCGATTCACTCGCTTATTCTTCCAAGCCACCTTCAAAAATTTATCGATAAGGGGTGGTTGGATCCCGCTTAAAAACAGAGCCAACGAATAGGTGACTATGTTTTGTGGATTCCGCGGTTGACGAATACCAATTGCTAGATCTTTTCTGAGTGTGAACGAACCAAGCTACTGATCAGCTGCTTGTAGTCGAACGTTAATTGCTCAAATTATCAACGTGCAAGTTTGGGGTTCGAAACTCTCCAGAGTTTTTTAAGATGCGCACTGGTGATTATTCCCAATAAGGATTGATGCCTCTCAGTTTTTGGGCATGGATTGCTCCTATTTCCAGAAAGAAATCTGATTTGAATCCTACCAAATAATCTCACACCACCATCGCCCCTCAATAGGCCGATGGACAAGCTCTTAGTCACTGGCACTAAGTTCCATCCGATCCGAGTACGTGTCCACTAACCATACTGCATAATTTGTTCCTCCAGAAAACATCGCTGGCCACTCAGTATTGAAGCCAGGATAGGGTTGCATGAGCCTCAGTGCAAAAATAACAACTATTTATCTATCACACATCCGTCTTTAAGTTAAAACGTAGGCCTATCATCTTCCACTATGACGTGCATCAGGTCCAAAGAACTTAAGTTTAGTCTGTCACCAAAGGTAAATACGCACGACTTAGAGTGGTAGGCGAAATACCCCCATGCACACAATTTTCACTCAAACACTCACTGAACGTGCACTGCAAGTAAAATCGCCGATATTTGCAATTCACCGCCTTGTGTTGTCCCTGGGGGGTACTTCTGGGCAAATAAAACCTGTCTAAGGCGACTGAAGATAACAGCACACGACCACCGCCGATTTCAGGGACAAACTCAACTTTGGAAGAGATAATCTTTGGCCGTCCCGTCCATTTTTCAACCATGGGATGTGTACTGTGCCTCCATATTTCGCTGCTTGTCTGTCTACAGATGAGGCCCTGATAAGATGAATACAACCGGTTTATGCTGAGCACGCTGCTCGTTAGCCGCCGAATGCCCATTTCTCCAAAATCTCATCCTGCGACATAAATATGTTAACTGGCAACGTAGCATTTTGCTGTACGTAAGGTCAATCTTCACTTCGGTCTTAAAATTTGGCACGGATTTTGATTTTTAAGTTGCAGTGCTAAGGTTTCATGCCACTGACTATAACTTCACCCGAATTATTTTCGCCGGGACTATGGGGAGTTAGATTAATTCGGTTACACCTTCCGGCAATGTGTTGCTCATGGCATTTTGTTTAAGTGAGGGAAATTTCAAGGTCACTGATTTCCATTTTGTTACCGGTTTACCGCACCGCATCACACTTGAGCATGTTTTATCGTTCTTCGGTGTTATTGAAGAAGAATAAATAAACAAATAAAAAATGAAGAAGAATAAATAAATATACAATTCGAATTACACCCTGTAAGATCGGTTGTTGACGTTTGTTCGCTTGCACCCTTCAGATTTAACAACTGCGATGATTCTGTTCGGTGAAGCTAGTCACAACACATTTTCCAATGGTCTCAAGTTGCAATAAGTGCAACATGTTTAGAAGACAGCATGAACTGTGCAGTGGTGATGCGAGGTGATGTTGGATGGTCCCGTTTCCAACACATGCATGACTAACCTGTGTACGGAAGCTTTTGGAGCTCCCCATATATTTCCGTAACATTTCCGATCCTTCCGCACCCACTGTCCACGACGACGCACAAGACTGCCCGTCTGACAATTCCTACTTCAACTTCATGCCTTCCCACCAAAATCAACTCCCTCCGCATGATGAACCACATAGTCCGCCTTTTGCAATGAAGAGAAAAATAAAATGGAAGCAACATTCGTCGAACGCCTGTTTCGGATCTGAGCTTGCCTCAGTTTTGATCCACCTATGAATTCAAAAATCCATTTAAAAAAAGCCAAGCTGCTACAAGACCCACCAAATATAAGCGAAATGACGCCTTTGCCGCAACGGGTTTCTCTACAGGGTGGAACAGCTTCGCTTTGGGGTCGGCTCATCGTACAAACATGCAAAACCATCAAATATCTCTGAACTCTGGAAATTTCAAGCCACCTTAGTTTCTACAGGGTGGAACAGCTTCGCTTTGGGGCCGGCTCATCGTACAAACACGCAAAACCATCAAACATCTCTGAACTCTGAAAATTTCAAGCGCACACTAGCCAATGCACATCCCTCATACATATGTCCACACCAGAGACCGCATAGATCGCATACCTATTATCTGCATGTAAATATGGAGTACCGTCTTGCCGCTATAAAAACCCCTGAGCGATAATGAATTGGCCGTGTGTACATAAACATAGGCATGATCGTTTGCATCGTTGGATTCAGCAAAGCTGAATATAAAGGGGGTGTACACCAGTCGTACGATCAAGTGGTTGAGACTTGAGCCTCAGGATCCAAAGCCCTCGTGCACCCTCAAACGAGTGCCGATGGATGCAGCTCCAGCGGAGATATAGTGAATGGTTTGGATCTTCGAACTAGGTCTGCTCATTTGGAGCACTCAATCCCAACATCACTTTGCTTTTGCCTCTCGATACCAACGTCATTAGCTTAAGCCAATCGTTTTAGCTGCAAAACATCACACTCAACCGCAGTATCGGTCTCAGCAACTGAGGGTTCAACATCACTTTGCTTTTGCCTCTCGATACCGACGTCATTAGCTTAAGCCAATCGTTTCAGCCTCAAAACATCACACTCAACCGCAGTATCAGTCTCAGCAACTGAGGGTTAAATTCCGGGAAACAGATCAGCTAAATCACTCACGTTTGTGAACTGACACCTTTTTTGTCTCCAGCATTCGGTTATACATACAGAGGATCAACATCTCAGACGTAAGTAACCCGTCAGAAGCTGCTCGCTATTTCAGGGTATTCTGGGGCTCGATTCCATGTTCGTCACACACTTTTGTTTCTCATCCTACCCAATTTTAATTCCACACTCCTTTTGGAATATCCAAATAGATGAACTACCGATGTAGCGGTGATACTACCAATCGGGAAGCATGCGATTATTATGTGCTGTTCTTGGAATTTCGCTCCGCATCTCTTGAACAGAAAGGTCTGTTGCGGAATTTGTGGAGTCGTTGTGTAACATTTTCTTGGGCTTGAGCAATGAATGATTGGAGTCAGAGGGTATTCAGGAACGTTCAAAAAGACGCGTTCAGAAGAAGGTGGATGTCCAGTTCTTGTAAATGAGATTGATATGCTATTCGGTGCACACCAGTAAACATTGTGGTCAGTTGACAGATTTTAAGGCGCACAAAAGCCCGACTCTGTGTCATCAGATTGCCAGCTGGATTGAGGTATGGCACCTTCGACCACTGATGACGACCACTGAGCTTCGGCACTGCGGGCTTCTGTGGTCTTCCTGGGTCCCAAAGCCTGACTCTCATTTACTATCCGGTTAAGCTGCTGAAGCAGGCCATCAAAAGCTGGTGGATTTGGAATGGGGACGAGCTCATATCTTGCGCCGTTTGGTTGTAATGAA